ACTAGATTTTAATGAAATTACATATTCTGGATTAAAGTGAAAAATATTCCTTCCCTATACCTAATACTCCAACCCTTTACCTAAAATGATACCTACAAACCACCCCTATATCATAGGACCTAAATTATTGAACAATTAGATTCTCAAAGCTATATTATTAATCAGAATTATCAGATATCAGAATTAACCTTTTCACTCCTGAGTTACGAAGAGAGTGGGAAACACCCTGTCCTGAATTAATTTAACAAATTTTATTTTTGTTTAAATGTAATAAAAATTTAATCAAAATATAATATCACGTAGTACAAGCTTACCTGAAGTGATAAAGATGAATACAGAAGCTCGGAAATCATTTTATATATTTTATTTTATTACGCTGAGAAAATACCACCAAGCAAATTTCTTTGTTTATTATTACATATTATAAATTTAACATTTTATGTATCATTCTAGGATATTTAGCAAATATTTAGAAAATATACGAATAAAAAATCACATTTAGAGCTGTCCAAACTGAGATTTACGAAGTGCACACAGACATGAAATACATAATTTCGTAATTTTTTTGACAGAGGGCAGAATAATGCAGGGATTGTATTGAAAAAAATTTCTTTCTTATCCTAAGAGATGGCAGGACACGTGAAAATAGTTGGAATGCGTTCAGAAAGAACGCAAAATTTTCTAAGCTCCAACAACTTCCAAATCCATGGACGTTGCATCGTGTCCACAGTCCGGCGCCATATTGTATCGTGGCATCATACGACATGTGCAGAAGTGAAAGGGTTAATTTGGTTAATTTAGAGAAATTAATTTTGGATTAATAAGTATTTAAATTAACAAAATATTCGTTGCAACTGGCAAAATAATTCTTGTAATCCTGTGAGGGTAAGTTTGCTGAGAAATTTAGAAGTTACTCGGAAGTTGCTGAGGAAAATGGAGGGGGAGATTAGTATCGATAGAATTTTGAATTAGTTAGGAAATTAACAAGAGATTAAATAAAATTGGAAAAATAATTGGTTAATAGCTCTTCGATTCTGAACATAATTTCTAAACACAATAGAAGCATCGGATCATTATAAGTTAACTCTCTCAACCTTAGAATCATCTACCTAAGTATACCAATCTCGTTATTAATAAAATATCGGTATACTACAGATTATCAGTGCCAGTTTATTTTCCTACAATAAATTTTTTACTGGAAATAATTTTTTAGGATATATTGGATGCTTTCATCCCTTTTACTTCTAAATTCTTGAAGCTCTATGGAACCTTCTAATATACCTGTATTTAATTTTCATTAATTTTATTCCCAATCCAAGATTAACCCTTTGCACTCGACAGGTGACTCTCAGTCACCGTTTGTTTTAATGCTATAACTTAAATAATGGATGACGATAATTATATTACGAACATCGAAATAAAATTATTCTATTCCTTCGTTTCTCACGCAAATTCACCACTTTCTTTTATTAATTTCAGCATAAAGAGTATCAGTGAGCTTATAAAAATCTAAGAATAGCTTCGAATTGCATCTTCATGACGAAGTAATCTTCAAGGGTTACCATAGCATAAATGCCAATACCAATTATCCTTCCTCTATCTTCTAGATTTTTAACTGAAAGGAGTCATCTAGAGGACCTCGAGTTCCAAATTTTTATCTCTATCATTTCTAAATTCCCGGTGCTCTATAAAACTTTCAGAATCGCTTGTCCAAGTGTACTTACATTTACAGCTGCATCTACTAATTTTCTTTCCAATCCAAAATCAACATACCACAACTACCACTACCAATTTTGCTTCCCTGGGTAGCGCAACAGCTACCCAACTAAAATAGCCTTTCCAAGCTACCCAGAATTCGAAATTGTCTCCAACAACTGAAATACAATTGAAGCTCCACGTAACTAGGAATGATTGGAAACTTTTGACCAACAGTGTATGTCCCTTCGTTATCTGAGCTACCTCTGCCTGCTCGGAAGATGCAGCAAACGTAGAGGCACGAGGACGTTGGTTAATTAGCTCGGCTAACGCGGGAGTGGCAACAATTAAAAAGAAATAGCAGCAATTAAGCGATGGGAGCACGAAACCGGGCAACTGGCATTGTGGTCGTCAGGTTTGTGGCGTGGGGTGATAGGTCCTCCTGAGTTTCTCTGTGTATGTAAGCTGTTGTGAAAACCACGCCTCGAGGGTCGGCCATCTTGATGCATGAATGGGTGAATTCCTATTGGCTATAACTCGCCTGAATTCAGGGTGCTCCGTTCCCAGAATCCCCTTTCGGATCATCTCTCTCTCGAGACCTAAGTTCCATTGTGTCGAGAGCAGCTTGATTGATGAAAGCAGCTCCCACCCATCACGCCGTTGCTTTCCTTCCTCGCTGATTTGGCCATTTTGTCGGCAAAGCAGCGTCGCGTTGCCCCTTTTGCCTAATTCATATTCACCAAACAGGATTGCCGGGCCATTTTTATTGGACTGTTGGTATCTCAGCAAAGAACAGAGGTCGCGGTGAATGAAGCAATTGTGCCTGCTGCTGCCTTCCTCTCTCTCTTTTCGCTCGCCCTTCTCTCTTCTCGTTCTCGGCCACGTATCGACGGATACGAGAGATTTGCGTTTGAGATGCAGGTGATGATGAATCTGCAACTTACCGGGAACGCGCGATTTATCGGTGAAAGCTAATTGCACGTAAAGCGTGCTATATAATCTTGTACCTTAACGGTATTGACTTATTCTCGGACTACTCGTCTTGCAGATATTCTTCAGCGTGCCACGTCTGCTGCTTCTTTTTCCCCAACAGGGCAATTTTTCTTTCGGGGTACCTACTTGATTGGTATGTGGCTGGTAATATATGAAAATAAGAATTCGCTGCAGATTTATGGTTACAGTGATCTACTAGTATATTTATCAGAGTCTCTTAATCACGAACTTCTGTATTAAACCGAAGAGTTTGTTACGATAATTTAATTCCATTTACATAAAATGTCTATATTTCAGTCGGATTCTGTTGGAATATTCATTTAATATTTTCGAGCTCGAGATAGTCGTTTCTTCATTAAATTACAGAGATACGGTATTTAAAGGTAATCGGTATTCTTCCGAAGGCAAATTTGATAGTCGATGCGTGAAACTTTAGTACGAATTGCATATTAGAAATAATTCTCTCGTTCTCGGTATTTTTCGAATATTTTATTCGACATTGATGAACTTTCCTTTGGAAATTTTTTAAATATTTTTTAGTGCTTCTGAAAATATTTTGGGATTCCCAATGGAGTGAATATCACAATACCACATACTCTGTATTTTCTCCATAATATTTTCATTCCTTTTTCGCTGAAAATATATTCAAAATCGTTCATTTCTTGTGCACAAATTTTCTTCTGCAAAATTCTTCCCAATTTTTAATGTAAGCGAGTACGAATTGCATATTAGAAATAATTCTCTCGTTCTCGGTATTTTGCGAATATTTTACTCGACGTCGATGAATTTTTCTTTGGAAATTTTTTACAAATATTTTTTACTGCTTCTGAAAATATTTTGGGACCCAATGGAGTGAATATCATAATACCACACACTCTGTATTTTCTCCATAACATTTTCATTCCTTTTTCGCTGAAAATATATTCAAAATCGTTCATTTCTTGTGCACAAATTTTCTTCCGCAAAATTTTTCCCAATCTTTAATGCAAGCGAGTACTGTAACGCGATAATTTGTATTACGTTGTAATCATAAGTCGAGTAAGTACCAGCAGCGAGGAGTTGTGTGAAAGGAAACGCAAAGATACGTATCACTGAGCAGAGAAAGATCATGTATGAATTTAACCAGAGTCTCGTGTTACCTTGCACAGTAGCATTTGCTTAACAGCCAGAGGAGCAGATCTTGCTGTCGACGCTTTCAGCGAGAGAAAGTTACGCAAAAACAATCATTTTTCAGGTGTTACTGAAAAATTATGGTGTTATTTCTTGGTCCATTATACCGTGTTCAATTTTTAACTGAGACCATGACTAGCTCGTAAATATACACGTTTATGGATATGCTGACGTCTACGTGTTCGTTGTTACACGATTACAGGTAAATGGACCTGTAATGAATTTATCATAATGACAAATTTTTATAAAATTAATATTGGTGAAAACCAAAAATAAAATACCATGCAAATAAAACAGAATATTATAATATTATTGTTTCTCCATTTTATATCATAGACTTAATGATCTCTACAGTACTTATAAATCCTCGATTAAATATTATTACCAGCTATTATAAATGAATAAAATGTTTTGTCTGATGAATTTCATGTGCTTATGAACTTATACTTTTGTAAGAATTATATATATATAGGAGCTTACCTGATTCTGTTATCTTGATTTATATCGATGTTATTATCTATAAAGAAAAATTGCAAGGTTTAAAAATTGCTGTAAGTGATAATCCATTGGAGACTTGAAAGTGATCATCGATTTTTTAAACAGAAATATGTCTTTTTTAATAACAAAATTGTAGTGTATTTCTATGCCAATAAATTTATTTGCTCTCACTTCATTCATTCTACAACCAGTATATTTATAAAAATATAAATAAATCACAACTTTCTCATAAAAGTAACCATGGATATCCAATTTAAAGGGTAAAAATCATCTTCAAATTTCCCAAAAGTCTCCAGTGAAAAAGAAAAATAATTATTCCTTTCATTCTACACTCTCTCCAAGACCACTGAACCTCAAATTCCTGAGCTAACTATACTCATGAGAGTTATATACATATATATATAAAGAAACCCAGGCATTACCAACTTAAAAAGCCAAAGGTCAGCTTCAAGTCTTCTAAGCGCCACCATGAAAAGAATTCATTTGCCTCATTCGGTATTGCCAGCTAGACCAAGCAACTCTGACCCATTGTATTCAACGGATAATAACATCGACGTAAATCAAAATGACAGTTTGAGGTAACCCACTCTGCGCAACGAATGCAATAAATAGCTAACATAAAATTCGTCTGTTCCCCTGAATAGCCAGCAACGAAATACGCAATATGCACTTCTGGAAGGCAGTCAGAATGGCCCAACCTAGTCGGACGTTTCGCTGCACCGCAGCGTGCACTGCGCCTACGGGACCGCCAACGGGACCTCCAACTTACGAAGGGCAGGTGCCCTACATTGGGGTTGCACCACCTCCGAATCCTGTCCATTTCAGGCCGTTCCTGCAGCCAGAGAATGCTCACATACCGGCCACCAGAGTTCCGTCCAGCCCAGATGGTCCTCCGGAACATTCTGCTACGTAGCCTCGGTGAGTCTCGCTTTATTTTATCACCTGTCAGCTTTTGCACTCCTGCATCTAGTGAGTGGAACTATGGAACTGGCTCCGTTACAATGGAAAAATTCGAACGTATTAAAGGCCCAAGGATTTTCCATCTCCCACGAGGTGTAATGCTCTAGTCCTAGTTCTGAGCTAGCTAGAGGTGAATGTGGTTCTAGTTGCAGGAATATTGGAGTTTATTAGTGAACATTTTCGTTTACATCTAAGTGAAATTCTCTTGAGATAGTCGTGGTCCAGGTGGAGGGTAGATTGGTATGAAGATTAGCTTGGATTAAACCATTTCTTAACCGTTTGAGTGCCACGGGTCATTATTGTTTCCCAATCGATATTTGCCAAGCGGCGACTCTAAGTGAAATTCTCTTGAGATAGTCGTGGTCCAGGTGGAGAGTAGATTGGTATGAAGATTAGCTTGAATTAAACCATTTCTTAACCGTTTGAGTGCCACGGGTCATTATTGTTTCCCAATCGATAATTGCCAAGCGGCGCGATAGCGCTTGTCATATTCCGTGTCCAAAAATGCCGAGCGGCGCGATAGCGCTTCTCATGTAGCTAGCTAGATAGCGCTCTGTGTTAATAATTTTTCATTTTCCTTCGAAAATGTTAACGCTTTGCACTCGACGATGTTTTCGTTACAGAAAAATAGTAATTCGAAGATTTTCTGTCATAAAGTCGAGGATATTTTTAAAATGGCAAATAAGAAATCACATGCAAATTAAGACGTAGAATTATTTTACTTCGACATTGCACGCATCTTTAGGTAATTTTGAAGTTGATATATTAATTAGCATCGATCTTTAGAATCTAATCAAATGGCAAAGGGTTAATATTTCAAACGAGAAAGGGATGCGATTGTACATTTATATGAAAAAACCACAGTTTGTTGTTAATGTATAATTACCGAAGAATCGTTTATGTTAATGTTACATATGTATATTCACTCGTTCCAACGCTTCAAATTTCCCTTGAGAAAGATCTGATCGCGAATTGTTCATGAAAATGTGCAACAGAAATGCAAATACGAGCGCATACCTGGAAGACGTGGCAACTAATTTCCTATGTCGAAGCTGTTTGTAGTTTTTGTATGTAGCTTTTAATAAGATTTTAATGAGCCATCCTTAACAAGTTCCCTTGGGTGCGGGTTAATTATTAGTTACCGATATACGCTACTGGTATGCGCTAATTGTTCGATATTTGCGTGAGAAAGTACAATTTCTTCTCTTGTCTGACAATTTTGTTTAAAAGGATAGAGCAGCTGAATAGAGAAAAGATAGAGTATCTATATGAGTATGAATAACCATGATGCATACCACGTACATAAGCGTTAGAGAAATGAGAACTCCCACATTAGACTCGATTAAAATATAATAACGTTTTATCGCGCTTGTTTTACAATTTTAATACACTCACTGCGAGCACATTCGCTTTCGATGAAATTTTTCTTAAAGCTTCGTAACGAGCATCAAAGTAATCAAAATGTAGTATACTCTATCTTTCGCTATCTATCTTGTATTATAATACATTCTGTGCATAGTCTATGCTAAATTATATATATATTTCTACGTGAGATACTAACCAGTAATTTATCAAATTTTAAAATAAATGCGAAAACAATTTTCAGTTGATTTCTAATTATTGCTGGATCATTTAAAAATCCAGAAATTTGTGACACGCATGACAAGTAAAACGTGAATATTAGTTTTGAGTTAGAAGAAGATACTGTAAGTCACATAAATATTTGTACCCCTCCATTTGTTGACTTCAAATGGCTGCCATACTTGTACAACACCTCATAGGTGGTCAAACAGAATATTTAATAGTAAAAATATTTTTCACAATAGAGTTTACATCGATTGAAAGCCTAATTAATAAATTTAGTTATTACTTATCAACAATAGTTTTAAAATTTATATTGCAAAATATAGTATTAAAAATAGTTATACTCGATACATGTAATCTCACACGAATAAACTTTAGTGGTTCACTGTATACACACATGTATACTTATCGATGCATACAGTGTGGACACAGGGCAAAAATTATTTCGTAAATCGTGTCTCGATCGCGATCCCAGACACTGGAGATCTATAAATCGCACTATATACAGTGTGGACACAGGCGAAAATTATTTCGTAAATCGTGTCTCGATCGCGATCCCAGACACTGGAGATCTATAAATCGCACTTGAGGTCGCATCGACGCGATCGAAACTGTAATCAAGCAGCGACAGCGTTCGAAGAACGAAACTAATACGAATTTCCGGCGGAAACCTGGAGAGGGATTAGTTTTCGTTTTAGGACGTAAAGCTCTCCTTCCTCTCTCTCTTCCTCGTACAAACGCGGTTGCTCCTCTCCTTTTCCCCTGGCACCCTTCTTTCGTCTGGAACGTTCGAACCCGGAGTCGTAATCGCAAATCCGGCACACATAAAACAGATTCTAACCTATAAAATACCCTTCCATTCGAGAGCCAGTCAGACCGCATCGCTTAGACCAGCAAAGTATTTCTCGGTTCCTTTATGTTTCCTTCTTCCGTTTCTTTCTCTTTCTCCCCGATTTTACGTTCGCTACCCCGGGAACTTACTTCCTTAACAATTTTCACGATCGCTGGATGAAACTCTTTCGCCCGTTCCTACAGCCCTCGATATTTTATTACGTCTCTCGAAGTTACACGGATATTCGGTGTGCAGGAACAGAGACGATTATCGAGAAGTTAGTGAACAGAATTGCGTGCCTTGTGGAAATTTTCCAATCGTGGTATCTCGTGTTTAGCTACGTCAAAGCATACCGAAGAACGTCGCTCGTCGCCATCGCGCTTTGTTTATACCGAGCATTAGTAAGAGTCGAGCGGCGCTGCGGTAGAGTTCGACCTCGTCGCGTCGCGAAGCAGTGGCGCTGCTGTAGTTCGTCGCGTAGTATGGCGAGCGATGTCGCCTCGTGGTACGCGTGAATATTAAATATCTGTATCGAATTATTCCGTACGATCGAGTCAGTTTCTAGAAGCCATTTTTTAAAGAGTGTCTCGTCGACGCGAATAATATCAGTGGTACACGAGTGAAGACTTGACTCCGTCACTGGTGGTGCACGTGCCAGCGAGTACATCGAGGTATGTACAGCCATGTAAACGTATTGACACGTGTGTCCTGCATGCAAGGTTACCGAATGTCTGTAGTCAATACGCGAACAGTTAGGCAGATTATGTATGATACGGAATATAATATATGCGAAGCAAGCTGTTATTATAATTTTACTAATTACGCAATAAATACGTCTTTTAATTGCTAATTAACCGATAATTTGCCGTAATGCGTCGAATGGTTGTACGTTGTAGAAGGTTATAGACTATGCACGCCTAGGAACCTTGTAGGCAGGCACGTGCCTGCAGACAGTATCTATAAGTATGAATAAGGCGTTATGGAAGATACGCACGACTGGCTGATCTCCGTTAATCCTCGTTCTATTACAATAACTGATACTGGTTTGCTTGGATAAATGGATACTTAAATACAATTCGATGTTAGGCTTAGAAGACATTCGCTATTGTGTTGCATACGTAGGCATACGTGTATTAAAATTTTGTTGTTTTATATAAATATGTTGGAAAGATAAGTTTAGTTATATGCAAAAATCAATCTAGACTATAAGTTGGGGATAAATAGTTTATAAGACGTACATTCCGAGAAAGAATGTTTATATAAACATTAGATAACAATTGGGGGTTTAAGCGAACTGCGTCACGTACTCTCTTGATGCTTTCACGAGTAGGTTAGTTGTCTAGAGAAGCACTCGGAGATAGGTGAACCTTCCTTGAGTAATAAAAGAATTTAAAAGAATTAAAGAAAAAGAATTAAAAAATTTCAAGAGAATATATATATATTAAGTTTACCGGAAAAGTTCTGTCCGATAATATCACCTGAAGTTTTGTCAAATTCACTATACTTTCCAGACTTAATACCTAATTCGATTACCGTCTGTTTCTTTCCCTCCAAAATTTTTTGAAGGGAAAAAGCTTGGAAAATGAAGTAGATGTCAAGCAATATTGCTCGAATTCTTTGCCTCTAAAAGCGAGACCTTTCAAGAAAATGGAATTCACAAATTTCCATCATCCTGAGAAGTGGTCATAAGTAACGATGAACATGATATTGTTAGATAAATATAAATAAATTTGTTGAAAATGTATTACTTTCTTTTACTTCAAAAACGGACAGAACTTTTCGGTAGACCTAATATATATTCTCTTTCTCTTATTCTCATAATTATTTTACAATTATGAACTCATTATTCCAATAAAATGTAACAAAATGATAGAAATAGTTCCAGAAAAAGTTTCTATATGGATATAGTATACATAGCGAGTATAGTCATACATTAAATATATAATATTAAGCGAGTATGTAACTCACGAATAAAATGGACGAATAAGACAGTACGTCCCCTATTGAATGGAATGAAATATCCTCTAGTAACCGTGGAAATTTATCGAGACCCGAAGCATGACGAGAAATTTAAACCGCGGAACAAAACAGGACACTACCATGGGGTTATGTCCCATGTGTTGTGGCGGTCGTAGCGAGAAATTTTCGAACCGCAACGATTCTTGCGACCGACTTCATCAAAGCGGCCGCTCCCGATGAACCTTGGCTGTACGCGGGAGCCTAAAGGTGCGGTCTGAGCTTTAACGATGACAACACCATAAAGAATCGAATTTACGAGTCCTCTCAGGCCACCCCTCCTCGGCTGATCACCCCACTTTGTCGGGATTCTTGCTTGATCGTTCTTCTTCCTTAAACGCATCTTCGAGGAATATGTTTCGCCGTAGGGTGAAATCGTCTTGCTTGGCTATATATAAATATTCGTGTATGGGTGTTAGGTTTGATGGTACATTCTTATTTTTATTCCTCGATATTTTATTCTTTGTAATTCTTCCAGACGTGTGAGTGGTGTTGAAGTTAGAATAGATATGTGAGTATTTATAAC